TATATATATATACATATATATATATATATATGTATATATTTATTTATTTATTTATTTATTACTCCATACGATTATTATCTCCAAATAGCATTCTCTACAACCAAAAAATACAAATTTTGTCATAAAACATCGTCATTGAAAATAAATATATCTTGTTGAAGGTTTGGACAAATAGTTATATATGCATTATTGCTGATGATAATTATATGATGGCGATTTTTTTTTTAACTAAGTTCTCTCAATATACAATACATTATAACAGTAAAACAAACCTAAATGATTGGGTCATAAAAACATTAAAAGAGAGAAGTAAACCAAAAACCGAACTGAATCTACTATCAAGTGGAAAAAAACACTATACAATAAATAGAATTTCACTAGAATCAAAGTGGCGAAAAAACCAAGTGATTTTTTTTTTATCTCATGGGATTATAAGTTTAAAAGAAAACAGTTATTTACCTTAGTGCCATTATCAACAGCACCTACAAATGATGTGAAGACGGTGGCACCAGCTACGCTGTCAGTTTGTAAAATGGGAGGTTGCATTCGACACTGTACAACAAATCGTTGATTGTCCTCTAACATCACCTCCTCCAATATGTATTCCCCAATACCATTATATGTATAGTCATACCCATCGAGTGTGGTCATATGAGGGTCACCAAACATCCATCCTAATTATATAAACATGATTTATATGAGCATTATATACAATTAGTACGATTATACAAAAATATAAACATATACATTGACATTATAGACATAAACATTTTATTAATTTGAATATTTCGAGCACTCCCGTGCTCTTCCTCACTCCTGTTCTTTTCCTCAGCGACAACACGAATGATTAAAATACTTCGCAATCTATCAAAGAGAATTATTTAAGCAGTGAATATGATAAATCGTTATGATACGGATCCAATACTTATCAGAACGAAAATGTGAAATATACTAATGCTTCGGCATCTTGCGGCTTCGTGTTATACAGGTCCGACTTGGGGAAGATCCAAAATAGGCTTGAGTATAGCTTAGGGTGATCTCAATGGGTATTTATTTTTTACATAGTAGTAAATGTTTATGGACCGTAAGTGCTTACCGGGCGCAATATTTTTGTCACCTACAGTTAAGGCAAAAACTAGACAAATTAAAGTAAAGAAAAAGCAAACAAAAGCATAGAAGACCAAAATGCTCAAAGGAGGAGTTTCCAGCCGTGTTTTGAATAAATGAGGGGACAATGTGTTCTTAAACTCTTCCATAAGATTAGCAGCAGTGGAAGAGTGAATGCCCGAAAGACATGTCAAAGTTTCAATATTTGGAACTTCAAGGTAGTGTTTTGAAGCGAAGCGAATGAAGCGAGTTTGTGTATATTAAGTACAGTAAGTTCAGATAATATGTAATCTGGAGCAAGGTTGCTCGTCCTTCTAATGTATAGATAGTTTTGTAAGAAGTAGCCTATGGGTAATCAACAATGGCACCCCGTTTTGCCACTTTATTTTGCAAGTTTATATATATACAATGTCGTGTACAGAAATACGAAAAAAAAAATTAAATGCAAATCCAAAAAAACAAATAAAATGATGAATCCGCCATTGATTATTTGTAATTAATCGTAAAAAATCATCTGACCTGTGTTCGGAGGAAGATAACCATCACAGGAGCCTGCTGGACGTTTTTCAGCAAACAGACCGCAGAAGTAGGGATCCCGAGATGCAGCGCAGCAATAATACCTCGGAAAGAGATCTTCAACTAAATTGCAAAAAGAAAATAACGAATTTTAATATTAACCCTAAACCGTCTTGCGGTAATGCTATAATTAGCCTAGGCATACATATAAATTTTAAAATAATCTGCAAGTTTGAAAAAAGTTGCCCCAAACGGTACACGAGCCGGTCTATGCAGACGCCTTAACTGACAACTGAGGCTTCGTTGATAATTCAGATACAATTAAAGAAACTAATTTATATTCTTGCGCATGCGTAGTTGGTCAACACTAGTCTTTAATGCATGGCAAAATCTGAAATCAATATGAAACTAGATGTGTATAATAATTTAGATAAACTCTAAACCGTCTTGAAGTAATTCTATGATTATATATACTTTTTAAACATAAAAAAAGAGGAATCTGGAAGTCAAAATAAACATATAGTTATTCATTTTCTACAGGGGAGGGTTTTTATGGTCACCCAGCAGCAAGAAAAACCAATAGCTGAAAAAAGGGCGGATGAGCTCCTCAGAGTCAACGGCCAACCATTAATTAGTTTAAGGAATAAGAGTAGTTTAGTCGCATTGTTATTATTGTTATTATTGTTATTATTTTTATTTTATTTTATTGTTATTATTTTATTGTTATTAGCATTTTCTCAGTTGGCCTATATAATTTCTCTGTAAATCGCATATGGACAATGTGCAATATGCGCTATATAAATATAACATTATTATTATTATTATTATTATTATTATTATTACACCATTTCATCTGTAGCAACAATCCGCATACGCACAGTTTAATGTACACACACAAATGTACTGATGATATCACTATAGCAACCAATAACTGCTACAACAGTTTGATTTAAATATTGACAATAATATATTTAAACTGACAATTAAAGACGGCAATTGACTTATAAAGCAATCAGTATAGGGCTTTCTATACACCCGAGGAAATCAATATACTTAGGTTAGATTCATGCATTCAAAAACATTCTTCAGACTTTGCAGTCCTTCATGATATTTTTATGCATTAATCTAACACTTGTATAATAATTTGCACTAGAGTATATGCAGTAATACTAATTGCTTATCCCAGGCCCTCAATGTTTATGCCATCACAAACAAAACGTAGTAGCCTCAACTAAACGAGATGTATCGTTGCTTCGGGTCCGGTGAGTTAAGGCCAATCCAGACAGCGTCGTACGACGCAGCCCGGACCTATGTGAGTTAAACACAGGTTTGCTATGATTACAGGGGCGGATTTAAAGATGTCCGAAAGGGGAAGCCGAAAGGGCGACCGATCGATACCTAACACCACACCGTGAAATGTTTGTTTTCTAGACGCCCGGAAATAAGCTTGGAGGCGTTTTGGGCAATCAATAATTTTTTTTTAACTTTCCAAAAAGGGGCCGGGACCAGATCGGCCCTCTTTAATTCCGCCCCTGGGTTATCTCAGCTAGCCAAGCTGAAAAAATGAAGACTGTCAAAAGTACAAAATCAAGATTCAATTAAATAGAAATCGCAACTTACAGATCCAATTTAAAAAGGCGAAGAAGCTTGTCGGCTGGTACCTTTCAACAAAACTGCTTTGCCAAAAACTTCCATAGCCCACAATGAGTGATTGATCTCCACGGTAGCAACATCTTATTCCGGCACCAGTTCGAGATGGTGTTGATGTTTGAAGACAGAAAGGCAACCCTGTCAAAATAAGCAATTCAAGTTTCAATATTATTTTAAGATTGTCATATTTACTGTTACATAGAGGTTGTTTATGGTATTTCAATGCAGGCAAGTACTATACATAGTTGTATAGAGGTGACGTTCTGGTCTAACAAAAAATGTTGTCAGTCGAAGGTCACGGTATGGTCATACTATGCCTGTTGCATTGAACAGTGAGCTTTACATTTGTATGGAGGAATTTTTCTGTGATCTATATCCATATATCTCACAATCTGCTGTTCCAATTTAATTTAATAAATTATGAAGAAAAAGTATTCTATAGATGCACAAATAATAAAAATAACAAAATACATTCGATTAATTTTACACTTAATAAGTGCATCTTTACCGCTCGGATACATTTAACCTGATATGTACGGCTGTTAATATTACACCCCTATAATACAACAACCAGTAGATAGAGTACATCGACAAAGATGTGGCGCAACAATGTGAGGGCTTGTAATCTCAGATTATTATGTTATGACTATGTACAATGTTGGTAACACTGTACAATGTTAATTACAAAAGATATATAAGCATAGATCTTACCAAATGATTGTGGTAAATATGCCAATCTACACTTAATGCCTGTTTACACTATGACGATAACGACTAACGATAAAAGCTAAATCGTGGGAAAACGATAAAATCGTTGTATTAAAAAAGATGTTATCGTTTTCCCATGATTATGACGTCATTTGATATTAAGTGAAATTATTTTTTATCGTACACACCATAAATCGTCATCGAGTCGACGTGGTAGTGTGAACATTTCTCTTCTTTATTTTCTTTTCTTTTATGAACAATCGCTTTTTAGCTTTTTATTGTTATCGTCATAGTGTAAACATGCTTTAATGTGATCTTAATAAATAAAAATTTATATTACATAGGCCTAGGTTAAATAATTACTTATAAGAGCGATGCATATAGACTAGAACACAATGTTTATTTGATATGTTGGTTCAAGCCTCTTCTCTAATTTCACATGACTCCTTCATGATATCGTTTGTTTTGTTTAAAGCATTACATGATATATAAGGGCCTAATGCGACAAACAAATCTGACATTGCGGATATAATAATACCATTTAAGTTGTTAATATCAGTCAAAAGGCTCTCATCTAATGGACTGGAGCTGACAGTTGTTGTTCTTCTTGCCCTTTGCCTCCCACGGACTCCATTTCCAAAACCCCCATCGCTTCTCCCTTGACCGAAGGCGCAAGGACAAGTTCCTAATCGATGGTCCCATTCACTTGGATCGGGCTCTGTTGAATACCAATTGAGGCACAATTGTCTGGTGTTTACTGTCCATGGATAATTTCTCTCAACACGATATATCCACCTTGCCTTTAAGCCTGAGTTTCCATCTATCTGATCAGGACGATACCTTGACAACACGTTTGGAAAATATGACGAAATTAACTGTGAGTTGACATTGTCAATAGTGCTTCCAAATCTAGCATTGTAACCGATGATAATATCCATTGGATCTAATACAGCTGCATCCCAATTCATTTCGTTAATCTGATAGTTAAAGAGAGTAAAGCCAAATGTACCATCCGTGACTAGTACAGCTTGGAAAGTATTTGTCTGGAAAAAAACAGGAAAAAAAATAAATAAACTCTTGTATCTGTTCCTTTGCAACCAGTGTCAATGCTCTATTTTATTTATTTCTAAAACCAGAAAATGTCAAAATTATAAAATATGTCCAAAACATAAAGGTTAACATTAAAGTTAAGCACATACGTTTGTAAATTTAAATTAAAGTAGTACAGTATAATACAGTATAATAGGACCTTTTCGCAAGCTTACGAAGTTGAAAACGATAACGAATACGGTACGCTTACGTCATCGCATTTTTAGACAACCCTTCGCCTACAGTAGATATCTGTCACAACTTAGGCATTCATGCCTAATCAATAATAATAATAATAATAATAATAATAATAATAATAATAAGGATCACATTCAGCTCGTTCAGCATAATATTGTTGACCTATAGTATTTGTTATCATTTTCGTAAGGTTGCGAAATCTCCCTACTGTTATGAAGTATATTTAAAGAAGGAATTGTTTCGCATAGAATAAATTTCATAAAGATGTTTGTGGCAGGATTGTATGGTAATGCATTGCCTAATGGTTACCACAGATGTACAGAATAAAAAGATTCGACACAGGCTCTGTAGAGGTGCATTTTTTTTCTTTTTTCTTTTTTTTTTTTGGTGATCCTTTTAAAATTGAATGAAATGAAAATAAAATAAATTCCACTTTTCCCTTTTTTTTTTTTTCC